ATCGAACGAACAAGACCAAGGCTAAAACCAAGATGGAATATACAAGACCAAGATCAAATACGCAAAAATAAACAAAAAATTATTACTTCCAATGGATTTGTGAAGCAACTTTAATATATCCTTGGAACAAAACATTTGTAGTATTTGAAATTTTCAGTTTGCTTTACTAGATTTTAACTTTAAATATAAAAAGAAAGAAAGTTTACCGTTGTTTGAGAAAAGGAATCTACAAGTGTTCTTTGTTCCTATGTCTGGATAACACATGGTTGAAATACATTGCCAAACTAATTTGTTTTCGATATTATTTCAAGTGGGCTATACTATTTTGTTCGCCAAAAAGTCGATTTATGCGTTGGAGGAAGGGACAATGCAGGGGTAAGTTCTCGAATTACTATAACTTTCACACCTATTGACACCATTTTCATTAAAAGTTATGACAAGCTCGCATGTATTACAGAAAATTTCAGTCTTTAAGGAAGTTGTTTGACGACATTACTAGTAAAAAGTTTATGCTAGAGTGTATCGTACAGTCAGTTAGTAGCCGTGATACCTAAGAATAAAACTTTTTGCTGTTACTGCACTATTCCCAGCTCCCAGCCAATCCCGTACCGCTCTTCATTCGTGTATCCTTTCTGCTACTTGAGTGCGATAAATTATTCGTTATTTATTAATTAATATCTCAGAAACTGTGTTGTAATAATTAATCAATTTTTTCAAAGAAATTATTAGACATTTGTAAGAAGGGATTCCAAGTTAACATTGTATTTCTAGTTAGCCTCCCCGGTATCCTGTATAGTACAATGTATAAGAGCCGCAAAAACGCGAACTTTGAAATTAAATATCTCTGAAACTATATTGTCCAATAATTTCAGTCTGCACATATAGGTGAAGAATAACTTAAATAATATTCTGTCAAAATTTCAAAAGAATCCTAAGAAAACGCTTTTCATGGAACAACTACCTTAAGACAATTATTGTCAGTTATAAAAAGAATAATTTGTACGTAATGTTATTAAAATAAACGTATAGAATAAATGAGCGATAATTATCCTGATGTTTTAGGAAGAATCTGTTTAACAATAAAAAGGATTTAGTTTGCTAGAAAGAAACAACATACTAAAATGAGAAACTTTATCTATTAAAATTTAAATAATAACCTACTTTTTTTTTTAAATTTCTTACCATTCCTATACTAAACCAGCTTTCTGTTAAAAGCTGTTTTGACAGTGTTGTGAAAGTATTTCTATTGTAATGTTCGTGGGTTTAACAAATTAAATTTTAAGAAGAAAACTATTTATTTACACTAATTACTATTAAACTTAAAAAAACACTATTAAATTATTACTAGACTTCGGTAATAATTCTATTTATTTATGTTTGAGAAGGTGTTCTACCAAACTATCTCGTCAATTTCTTATTGACTTCCATAGAGTCCTCTGTTTCTCCTATTCTTTCTAACACCTCTTCATTTCTAATCTTCTCTATCCACGGTATCCTCATCATTCGTCAGTAACACTACATTTCGAACGCTTTTAACCTTTTCTTTTTCGCAGCGTCCACTGTCCATGTTTCGCACCAGTACAGCACCGCACTCCAAACATACACATCTTTTTATAATTTATAAATTAAAAGTTTGCGAGCATAGAAGTGACTTCTTTTTGTTGAAGGCGCCTCCACCCTGCGCTATCCTCTCTTTTATATCCCTACTACCCTACTACTCCTTCCGTCCTGACTTATCTGACTTCCTAGATACCTAAAATCAGCCACTTCTAATTTTTCGTTTCCTATCTTTATATTTCCGTACTTTTTCTTGCATACAAGTATTTTTGTTTTACTTTTATTTGTTTTTATACAATACTGTTTTGTCAATACCGCTTCCATTTTATTTAAAGCTATCTCTATCATCTGAAAATCTAAGCATACGAAGATATTAAAAAAAAGTAACAGGGAGTTGTCATCCATAGGTTGCAGGAATATTGCACTGCACAATTATGTTAGTATTGCATTCCATAATTTACAAATCCTTAGCAGTCGATTAGTTTTCTGTATTCTATTTTAATGAAATAAATATTCCGTGAGATTCCTGCACGGAAATTATTTTCCTTTACGTTCTTGAAATCATTCAGTGACATTTTTCCTATCGTCTAAGAGATAGCGCAGTATGTATCATTCGACTATACTAGGAAAGATAAATATATTATACACTGATACAAAATAATTAATACTGCTGGCTTTACATGAACCTTTATTAAATGTACGAACTAATGTTGAGCAGGTATATAGCACAAAATTTAGTTTATTTTATATAATTTATAACTGATAATGGCTTTAATATTTAGTTGAATCGTGAACTAATCTCAATTTTTTCCTCTTAGTTTGGATATGACTAAGGAAATAATTTAGGCACTGAAGGGTTGAAAGGTTTTTATTTGTGTGAAGAACCAACACCGACATTTCGCCTCTATTTGGGAGACATTCTCAATGTAAAGCGCTTACCTTAATGTTGCTTCTTCACACAAATAGCAACGTTTCAACCCTTAAGGGCCTAAATTCTTTGCTTATTTAAATCATGGACTTTTGTTTTCGATACTTGACTTAGAATCAGGAGTTAACATCAAAAATATTATATTTTCAATTGCTTGCATTTCAAACCACACACCCATTTGTAATTTTCTTAATTGAAGTGAAAATCCCGAGGCTAGAACACCGTGATCTTTTCTTAATTAATGGTAGAAGGATTTACTTGTTAAAACTCCGTAATCAATTAAAGGAAACGAAAGTAAATTGAAACCTTGAAACTTTCCTTTCATTTCCTTAAAGTGATCTTTTCTATTTATCGGTTGTTTTACGTTTACGTTTTGTCAGTCCTCAACGGTTGGTACACTCAATACATTTTTCTGCTACCATTGTAGCTTTCTCCGTTGGGACTGAAGCAAGGTGGGAGAACAAATCACGGCAATTCAGCTCACAAGGCTTTACTCCAGATAAAATCCACCAGCTGTGAATGATAAGGCGATCTAAGGATCGCTATTACATCGTTCCTTACCTTGGGTTTCACTAGTTAGGGAAAGCCAAGAACAAGAGCAAGACGGTCCCAGTCTTAGTATTGGTCTTGGTGTTGTTTATTCGGTTTTGGTTTTGGTCTTCCTGAAATCTAGTTTTGGTCATGATCTCGGTCTTAGTCTTGCTGTTATAATATCGGACTTGGTTTTAGTCTTGCTGATGTAGTCTCGGTCTTCGTCTTGCTCTTGCGGGCTTGGTCTTGATCTTGCTCATTTAATCTGATAGGTACTTACGTTTTTTTATATAATTTTAATTTATTTATTATTATTGGGATGCGTCAAATGGGAAGAGCCTAAAAACATGGCGCCGATTAGGGAAAATTTATCGTAGTTCCTATAGTGTACCGTGCAATTTCCAAGTTTTTAAATTACGATAAAATGATAAGTATTGACACAATATGTGATTGGGCTGACACAAAGCCTCGGAAAGGAAATTTCGTTGAAGGTGAGCGTGTTTTTAATGCCAATCACATTATAAAATTCGGAAATAACAAATCCGGAAGCTAGCCTTCAAATTCCGTCAAGTTTACTGCCTACTTTTTACAAACTTCGGATTTAAAAAGTGATTCACGTTATATAATTGGTGAGGTGATTCTGGGTGATTTAAGCAATATCATATCAATGACTTGCACGTGCAAAGCCGATTTAAGAGAACGTTGCAAACACATTATTGCAACTTTGTTGTATTGCAGCAGGTAGGTTCTTAACCTCAAAATACTTATATCGTATCATTAGAATTGTGTTAAATCAATTACACAGGAATAAATAATTTCTCACTTTATAATTTTAGTATGATTCTAGTTTTAAATATTAAGGTTATGGCTGATGGTAAATACTTGCTGAAATATAATCATGTGCATTAAAATGACGTGAACAAATTTTTATTCCGGAATTCACTTCTTTGATACCTACTGCTTTCATCCAAGCTTCTATTAGTTTACTTTTTTCTCTAATTTTCCGAATATATTTTTTACATATTTAAAACGGTTAGTTTTTATTGGAAAGTAGTTAATGTAGGTGAAGAGTGAAAATCTATGTATGAAGTGCTATTGCAGCTTTTCACTGAACATATTAACTTTTTATTTGATTTAACTTTAGAAGAAAACTTCGTCCACTCCATCATCAAAAAGTTTTTACTTTTTTAACGTGTTTTATTATTTTAATAAACATTTTACAATTTGCGTGCACAGTTCCTATGCAAATTTTTCCCTCATTCGAGTTATAAATTTTGCCAACAGATGGTGTATGCCCATTTGATGGATCCCAACACCTTTAAAAGCAATATTTTTAGCGAACGAAATAGCATACATGGTCTTGATTGATTTTGGTCTTGGTCTTATTTATACTGTCTTGGTTTTAATCTTTGTCTTGTTCGTTAAGTTTTGACCTTGGTCTTGTTACTGTAAAGACAATCTTGGTTTTGCATTTTCGCAATACCAAGACCAATTTTGACTGACACTGAGTTTCACATTGGGAACTGATACCAACGTGTGGCATAATTAAGTGCCTTTAGTCGTCGAATTTTCCAAAATTTCCAAAAAATTGTTGATTTGCACAACTCTGTTACCAGTCTTCATATCAGTTCAAAAGATAAGATTTAATTTTTGTTTGATTTAGTACTACAGCCCCTAACAGTACAAATAATTCTATTCTTGTAGAATGAATACGAGCAGGCGAACTGACAATTTCAAGTAGAATTCGATATTAATTGTTTTTATTTAGTTTTATGCAAATGAATCTAACACGTCGACAAAATTTAATCCAACCAAAATGACCAGTTCCTAATAGACGTAATATTTTCCTTACAATCATTGGTCGACTTTTACTAAATAATTAAATAATTCGTAATAAGTATATTATCAACAAGAAATTCATTAATACTTATTGTTAGTACAGTAAAATTATGGTTTATAACTACTGTTGCTTCCAATTATCCAATTACTTAGATGTGGGTGGCTTTCTAACTGGTAAACCCCAGTTCTCCATTTCCATATGGTATGGTAATGCGAAAGCAAGTCTGTAAATAGTTGCCGCTACTATTGTAGCAATGACCGGAGCGATGAAGAAAACCTAATACGAAAGACCGATGAGTAACATTATACACCTACAAGGATCGTACCTGCCCAAAGTATGGCAGCAATGCCCATAAACTCTGAGCTATCTAAAATGGCGGCTCAAGTAATAAAATTTTCAGATAATTTATAAGCTTATTTTGTTGAATGGCTAATAACTGCAGAAATAATAATTCGGGCCATCCTAATTTTATCTAGTGACAATATCAAGGAACAATAACCCTTATTGAGGTTTTCTTTGCAGCTGAAATTCAACAAACATATTGTCTACCTGCGCATCTCTTCATCATCATAAGGCCGTCAGTCCTAAGACTGGTTTTATACGTACCTCCACTCTTTCTTACTCTACCCTGAGCTAATCTTCGCATTTCCCTAAACCTAGAACGACCCACTTCCTTAGCTATTTGCGAACAGTAATCTAATCTAAGTGTACCTCGACCCCTCCTAACTCTCGTTGCTGCCTTTAATATGTATCTGATTAGACCTTCATGCCTGAGGTGTCCTACTAACCTATCTCGCCTATTTCTTATTGACTTCCATACAGCCCTTTGTTCTCCAATTCTTTCTAATACCTCTTCATTTTTCACCTTCTCTATCCACGGTATCCTCATTATTCACTTATAACACCACATTTCGAACGCTTCTAACCTTTTCCTTTCTGCTGCACCCACTGTCCATGTTTCGCACCTGTACAGCGCCGCGCTTCAAACATATACCTTTAACAACTCTTTTCAAATTAACCGTTCGCGAACATAGAAGTGACTTCTTTTTACTGAAGGCGACACGACCCTGCGCTATTCTCTGCTCTATATCCCTACTACTCCTTCCGTCCTGACTTATCTGACTTCCCAGGTACCTAAAATCGGCCACTTCTTCTAATTTTTCATCTATTCTTATATTCGCTCTTTCTGTACTTTTCCTTTCCTTGCATACCAGTATTTTAGTTTTACTTTTATTTATTTTCATACAGTACTGACTTGTGCGTATCTATTTTATATTTCAATAAAATAAAGTGGTGGAATTTGTTTCAATACATCTTTCTGAAAGTTTTCAAACTATTTTGAACTTTGTAGACATAGGTTCGTAACAGAACAGAGAACGTGCTTCGTTCAAACGATGCCATGAAGTTCCAATTGCACTTACGCGTGAACAAAGGCTGTCTATTGTTGGCAGTTTTATTACATGAACCGCCGCTTGAGATGGTTCAGAGTTTAGCTTCCATTTCCATCGGAAGTTAATGAAATTATTTTGCCACTGCTAGAGATTTTGATAAATATCCAAATTAGAGAAGGGGACACAACTGATCGTAGGTATAATCTGGGATTGAAATAATGACGACACGCAATTTGGTATGATAATGCTTCGATGTTGGAAATTTGGGATGTTTCATAAAATTACGGATCAGTTGAAAATTTTGCGTAGGTAGAAAATTTTCAAAAATTTTAGATGGTTAAAGCATAAACTAGCTTTAATTTAATTTCAATATTCTTTTTGTATTTATTTATTTAAGTACTTACGTAATATCATTAGAAACTAGTAACTATTACCTCATTTATAACTAACAATTAGCATAAACATTTAGGATACAGCAAGAGAAAATAAAAAGCTAATTGTAAGTTAACAGTTAGGTACTGTTAATTTATAAGAAAACTATGGGCACCGTAAGATTAGTTTTGTCAACCCTTCGTATACCTATTAATGGTAAATATGACCCCGTTTATAGTTTTATCTTGATATTTACCATTGAAATAATAAAAAAATGTAATTTACCGCAAAGAATCCACCGGGTTTGACACCTCCGATCATTATGACTGCAACTGATATCATCGGATTCATGTAGCAACCAGTTAGGTCACCCTGAATAAACAAAATTATATATAAATCAATATTTTTCAATTTGAATTTTAAATTTTAAAATTTAAAAAGTTTATTGAGAACATTGAGCAAGTAATAGGCATAGAAACAGAAGAATTAATTGTTGATGTCGGTGACAGTGATTCCGATGAGGACAGTTAATGTGACAACTAATTACAAAACCAACAAAAGTATTTGGTTATTGTTTTTATGTAAGTTATGTTTCTATTGTATTTCCTAGTACGCTACTGTCCTGTCTGTAGTAATACAATAGTTTACGCCTACAGAAAACTTATTTATGTATCGGTTCGGAGTGATCTACCCAAATAGGCCATAAATGGGCAAGTACAGGCCGGACGCTGGAAGCTGGCGGAAATTTTAAAATGGCGTGGATGCGCGGTGGCAAAAGTAGGCAGTTTTAGGTATAACGATTGCAGCCCTCTTTCTTCAGTATTTCTATAAGGGGCGTAGATTAGGTATTTAAAAATAGGGATCAGTGAGCAAGTAATAGACAGACAAACAGAAGAACTAACTGTTGATGTTGGTGACAGTGATATAGATTCCCATGATGACAGTGAATGTGAAAACTAACTATAAAACAAAAGCAATATGTTTATTTTTCCTTTTTGGTAATTTATGTTTCTACATTATTTTCTAGTACGCTACTGTCCCATCTGCATGAATACTATAATTTACGCCTACTGAAAGCTTATTTGTGTATAGTAAATAGGTCATAAATCGGCAAGTAGATACCTGCGCGACCGCTCGCCAGCTTCCTTCGTCAGACCTGTACCTTTCTATCTTTCTGTGGATACAATTCATGATTCAACACAGTACATTCACGAAATTTCAGCTTTCCGAAAACGTCGTCAAATTCCTAAATTTATATGTATGCTGCTTCACTTCCTAAAGAATTGAAGGGCAGTTGATTTAATGTACCTGTACATATATTTACTAATAGTGTCTATCTAGTATCCGGTGTCTGGACGTTATCTGACACCCGGATAAATTTAAACAGAACAGTTCGAATCTAGCAGCTCTGCTGCTAACCGTGGCATTTCACGATTACTTTGACAGGTACCTGTTCGTATACTTTCGAAAGACACTATGAAATACTCCAGTTAATAGATGGAGACATACGGCCAATTAGTTGGGAATAATTATGTGATTTCACCTTTCATATTGTATTATGGTACGTAGTTAAAATTTAAAAAAGAAGCTGTGGAAGAAGATTAAGGAATGTTTAAAATTTTTAGGTGATAGAAGGCTTTGTTATAGATGTTACCGGAAATGTATGAAATCTAGGAATTGCATATAATTCCTAAGAAATGTGTATAATTTGTTTTAAAGATTTTTTAATATACACATATCCTGGGAAATGTATAAATTGCCTAGGAATTGTATGAAATTCTGATATTATACTAGGAAATGTATAAAATTAATGCTTTCTGTGGATAAAATTAATAAAACACCTTAGTAAACTGAGAATCAGTTATTATATGTGTTTACACGGTTCTAGTGCGATCGCCTGATGTATATGCATTGATGACGTTATTGTTTGGTTAGGTTAGGTTTGAAGATTTATATGCATTAGTAACGATATTGTATGGTTATTAAGTACATTTAGAACAGACTGGAGTTTCTGCAATCCCCCTCCCCCTGCGGGCTGTTATGTTGGAATAATGTCTTCGAAAAGTGTTCTTCACCATGATCTCCACGCCTAAAGTATAAAAAATGATCAGCATTATCACCTCCACAACATACTAAAAATTCAAGGTCATCGTGTTTGCTGAAACAGAGATAACCTCGACACATTCCTCGAACATCTAACATATTAGCCCACCTCCGGAGGGCAGAGGCATTAAAGATACTCCAGTCTGTCATAAATCTCACTAACCCAACAATGACGTCACCAGTGGATACAGGTACATCACCAAACAGCCTGCAATATTATTGCCTATTTAGTATTACCTGTAATACATTTCCGATTGCTATTTAGGTAATGTATAGATTTCCTAGGAAATGTTTTTTATTTTTTATTTCACACATTTCCGAGCGATTTTAGGAAATATATACATTTCCTAGGAATTCTATACAATGATGGATTTTATACATTTCCGGTAACATAGACATACTTACAAACGCCAGATGCAATGCTAAATAAGTAAATCCTAGTTTAAGGGACACTGCATCTATCTTGTCCCTGACTCGCGAGTCCCACACGCCAGCTAACACTAAAATGTAGAAAAAGGTAGCCCAGAACTCCGCAGAAAACGCTTGACTCTGTGAAATATCGGGAAGTATGTCGGGAACACAGAAAGGGGGGCCTTTTTCCAGCATATAGTATCTGTCAACTGGTCTTGCAAATGCCTTCAGAAAACAGAATTTAAAGTTCTTGTCAATAAAGTCATTTTTGAACTTGATACTTAAATAAAAGAATTCGAAGTGGTCTGTATTCTGTGGAAACTGCCAGACGCGGATCGCGATTTCGATCTTTGTGGATCTCATCAGCGCGTCGCAGGCAGCTCCGACAGAACACAGACCAATTTTTATCTGCTGTCTTAACAGTGCGTTTTAGAAAATATTACAAATGGCGCAGTAAACGCCACCTGTAGCACGATGCTACATTTTAGGATTACGTATGCTCCAACAAGGTCCACTTGTGTGTTAGTTTAATCGAATAAAATAATTCGAAGTGGTCTGTAAGCTAACGTGCCTATCACGTTGAGGTTGGCTACGCCGGGATTCGTTTTCAGCAAGTAGATATCCACACAAGTGGTCCTTGTTGGAGCATACGTAATCCTAAAATGTAGCGTCGTGCTACAGATGGCGTTTATCGCGCCATTTGTAGTATTTTCTTGATACTTAAAATTTGTAAAAACTGTTAACCGAACTTGTAAGCTGGTGTTATCAATGCAACCTTCCCTTTGACTTTCTAGTTTGAAAAAACGTACTAAGTTGTAATTTTTACGTTATACAGATTAATTCACATTAGAAGCCTAGAAGTCAGACGAGGTACTCACCATAACTATTTCGTAACCGACGCTTGCTCCGATAAATTGTAACAAAGCGTAAACGGGAAGCTCTGCCCATGCCTTTTTTCCCAGAATACATGCTGCGAGTGTAACGCAAGGATTAAGGTGCGCACCGGATATCCTCCCACCAAACTAAAGAATACATTCGATTAATATTGATTGCAATCAAAACTGCGTATCCAGGCCAGAAAAATTTGACAGATAACATGAATACAGTCTATACTCCGTTCATGTTTGAGATGGACAGATTATAAACACATTTACGCACTTTGGACATTATTGTCCAAAGCCGAAGCGTTGAACAGTACCGTACTTATTTATTATTATTTACAAAATTAACCGAAACTTTTACAAAACTTTGATTCTGACAGTTATCGATTGGGGCAGCGGTGAATATTACATCCCTATAGAAGCCTATTGAGAAACTATATTGTATGAAATAAATAAAAGTATAACAATAGATGGGAGTCAAAGGTAATAGAAGGGCGAATAAAAAGATAGGAGACCAAAGATTAGAAGAAGTGGCTGATTTTAGGTATCTAGGAAGTCAAATAAGTCAGGTTGGAAAGAGTAGTAGCGATATAAAGCAGAAGATAGCGCAGGCTCGAGTCGCCTCCAATAAAAAGAAGTCCATTCTATGATCGCGAACGATTAATTTAGAAATTCTAAAATGGTTGTTAAAGGTGTACAGGTGCAAAACATGTACGATAGGCGCGGCGGAAAAGAAAACGTTAGAAGCGTTCGAAATATGGTGTTACAGGCCAATGATGAGGATACCGTGGATAGAGAAAGTTACAAATGAAGAGGTATTAGAGAGAATAGAAGAACAGAAGACTCTATGGAAATCAAATTAATAAAAAATAGGCGAGGTAGGTCGTCCGGACACTTTCTTAGGCCTGAACGTCTAGTTAGGGACTTATTAAAGGCAGAAACGGGAGTTAGGATGGGTAGAGGTAGATCTATATTAGATTCATCATAACCATAAGGTCGTCAGTCCTAAGTCTAGTTGGACACGTACCTCCACTCTTTCCTATCCTGAGCTAAAATTCGCATGTCCCTAAAACTAAAACAACCTACATCTTTAACTATTTGCAAACAGTAATCTAACCAAGGTCTACCTCTACCCCTTGTAACTCCTGCTTCTGCCTCTAACATGTCTCTGACTAGAGCTTCATGCCTGAGAGGGTGTCCTACAAACCTATCTCGCCTATTTTTATATTGACTTCCATAGAGTCCTCTGTTCTCCTATTCTTTCTAATACCCCTTCATTTCTAACCTTTTCTACCCACGTTATCCTCATCATTTGGCTTAAACACCACATTCCCAAGGCTTCTAACCTTTTCTGTCCACTGTCCATGTTTCGCACCCGTACAACACCGTGCTTCAAACATACACCTTTAACAACCTTATTCAAATTTCTAAATTAACCGTTCGCGAGCATAGAATTGACTTCTTTTTATTAAAGGCGACACGACCTTGCGCTATCCTCTTCTTCATATCGCTACTACTCCTTCCGTCCTGACTTATCTGACTTAGACTAGATATCTAAAATCAGCCACTTCTTCTAATTTTTCGTCTCCTATCTTTGTATTCGTTCTTTCCCTACTTTTTCTTTCCTTGCATACCAGTATTTTAGTTTTACTTTTATTTATTTTCTTACAGTACTGATCTGTCAGTACCGCTTCCATTTTATTTAAAGCTAGTATGCTTAGATTAGCAGATGATATAGCAGTATTAGCATCTAGCAAGGAGGACCTAGAGATAGCTATATTAAGTTACTGTTCGCAAATAGTTAAGGACGTGAGATGTTTTAGTTTTAGGGAAATGCGAAGATTAGTTCAGGATAGGAAAGAATGGAGGTGCGTGTCCAACTAATCTTAGGACAGACGACCTTATGATAATAACGATGACAAGCTTGGATGTGTTTTTCTAGACCCCTTCTAGCAATATAGGAGTATTATATATATCTCCATGACAACATTAACCATTCTAAATTCAGATCTCAAACAAGTCACAGTCTTGGACCAGTAATCTATTCAAAATAGTTTCCATTGTCGGACGAATTTAATACGTCGTTTTAAGTTTTATTATTTAGACGTTGAAATTTAGTTTCATTATTAGAATAGAAGTTCAAGTAAATCTTTTAAAAGAAACAGTAAATTTTTATTCTTTAACGATAAGCACGATCCAAATAATTAGTTGCACAATATTAATCTGGCGTGTAACGTACAACGTTTGTACAACATCCATACACACATGGTGGAATATTTTCATAAAATTCTTATTGTCTGGAATAAACAGATTGACGAAATAAAAGCCAATTGTGTGGTTTTATGAATCCACGATGCAAGCGAAACTTTTCGAATTGTAGGCATTTAACTGTAAATTTTCGGAAAATTGTTCGATGTAGGGTATTAAAATTAAAATCGTGTTCTTAATCTTATCGTAATGATTGGAAAATGGGAATGATAATGGGAAATCAATAGTAGACAAGATATCCAACCATAAATTTTAATTTCAATCTGCGTATGAGAGTACAGAATACATAATAAATCCAATCAATGCATGTTAAAAACTGAGAACAATATTTATTTAAATCGTTGAATGGTTTTGAACTTCAGTTATTCTATCAATAATTTCATCTTCGCTTTGAGTTTCACAGTCTATAAATGTAATTGTCATGCACTTACACGAATGAGTGAGAATATAAATGCTACACGGTTAGCTCATGCGAGCTATGGGCGCCGCCACATTGGCCTTGGCTGCTCTGCCGAGCGCCTTTCCCTTTTACCCCTACTCTGCGGCCGGCTGTAATGCGACATGGGATAGATGGACAAAGAAATTTGAGGCGATGTAATAAAAGTTTCACTTTAAAAGTAATAATAACTTGTTATCTAGGAAGGTTCCAATTTTTTGCAGTATTTTGTAATCTACGTACATACCTCAAGAGCCGCTATATATGCAAATGCAAACCCCATTGCAACTTGAGTATGAGGAGTATGGTAAAAGTCCCACCATAGCGTTGCCATGGTGCTTGCACAACCAAGCATGACGAACATGAATGTACTCAAAAGTTCTGCGATGCTCATTCTTAGTATGACCATAAGCCGTTTTTGGTCATAATAAATGAATGCAGCCACTGAAAGGAAATATTGTTGCCGCATTTTTTTAATCTAAGGCCGCTTCCTACAGCAGTGATCCCAAATATTTTTTGAAAGTTGTATGGTGAACAAGTAGGTTGTTATAAGTTCCAATATGTATCTACGATTTATTTATTTTTTCGCAAATCGACTAAAGCCAAGATCTTCTGCCTCCAAAGTTTCAAATCCTGAGTCGCATTCTTTTTTTCATTTCACAATTCTAGGATTAGGGGAGGGGTGGTGGAGGGGTTAAGAATGACTGGTAGCTGAGGCAGTAGATGTGAAAAATATATAATTTGAAAAATAAACTAATGTCACCTAAACCAACTCTTAGCTGACCTAACATAATCTAACATCCAACAAAGTAGTAAATTTATTAGGAGTGTTTCTCGCCTGAAGCCTCACAATCTGTCACAAACAGTGTTTTTATGCCAAAAGCAACTGTTAGAGGAGGTATTACTGAATTACCTATATAAGAGATGAAACTACAGAAGTCGAAAAAACCGACTTCAATTGATTAGTAGGTACTATGTAATATGTATTACGTATTTGGACTCTAACAATAAAAAATCGGTTGTCTGTAAAGTCGGTTTACTGACGATAGATGAACGTGACAACGTCATAAGAAAATACTGATGTAATGGTTTCATTGTTCAAAATAAAGTTTTCATTTTATTTGTTTGATAGATATTTTGTATGGATATAGAGAAGGAGGTAAATGGAAATCACAATTGAATTGATCAAGTTACATTTATTTGTACGCATAAATACAATTATGTCAATTTTTATTTATTTTTTTTTTAATGTACATAGTTTTTACAAGTATAAATGTGCTTTGAGCAATTGTTTTTAATATCGAAAGAATAATTACCTTTATCGCCGCAATTATCGTTGCTATAAACAATTGACACCACATTCACTTTTCATTGCACTTCATACTTGACGAAAACATGTAAATGTATTATTGTATAGCAGCTGTCCACGCGGACGCATCGCTCACTCAAGTAGGAGAGAGACAGTGTCGAACGCTGCCGAACGCGGAGGCCGATTGTGCCTCTTTGTCGCTCGTTCCGCGCTCTCGCTTGCACTTCAAGCCTTAAATGGAACGCCTCAGAGCGAGGTAACGACGCATGAGTCATGTTTTTTCGTGCGTACAGCCGGCTCCATCGAATTATAAGACGTCAAAAAGTATTTGGGATCGCTATTACATGAATTATCGGAAGAAGCCGTCATATTAATATATATGTTACGGTTAATATGCTTAGGTACCTGGCCAGTTTGTGAGATAACTGAATAGTATACAAACTGTCCAAGTAAGGTTACAGCAGAAGGCTAGGAAGAAGCAACATTCACGAATAAATAGACAGTTTCTCATAACATAACCTTATAATCCGTCAAACCAAACATTTGGACAATTTATATACTATCCAGTTAGTTTACAAGGTAGTCAAGTAAGCATATTAATCGTAATATATACATGTAATCTTAGAACGGTGTTTATATTTTGGAAATTATTTTGGTTCTTAATAGTCATGGCAGTAACAACCTTATACACAGGAAGCCCTTATTGTTAGCATTACAAAAAAACTTACATAAATTATAAGCAACAGTTTTTGCATTCTTAAATTTTCCTTGTTTTTCCTTTTGAGGACATTCCATTATCCCTTGAAGAAATCAGAACTTACATATGACTGAGATAGTTTCCAATTTAAATTATCAACAGTATAAAAATACTTAATTTATATGTGACACATAGATTGACATGTAGGTTAACCAATTATCTATCATTTATTTGATGGTATCCAACGACTTTATTAAGACTGTACCTGTAGTCAGTCAAAACAGACACATGCAAAAGCCCATTGTAGCCCTTTTGGGAACATGGTGGTTAAAAGTGTCTACCTACAGTATTTTTCTATTTTGGCCAAAGCGTTAAAAAATAATGTTTGGAATCTCGTACAGGTATTCGAATTTTTCCAGTTTGGTGGGTGTCTAGGTTGACATCTTCACCAAACACCAATGTAGAATAATAGTAATAATTATTTCTAAAAGAAATAAGGAAAGATAGTTTGACTATGCGGACACATGAAACCGTGGGCTTAACTTATTACCAAAGAAAGTGAAAAAAATCGAATTATTCCGTTTTTTTCATCAAATTGTGGCATATATCTCAGAAACTGTTAAGTTTTCCATTGCAAAAACGTAAAAAGTTACAAAAAAGGCTTAACAATATATATTGACTTGCCGATTTCTTCTCGTATAATTACATTAGTCCTAGGACCTTGATACTCAAAGTTAACTACGTATTATAGTAAATATTCACACTAAATTTCATCTAGAAATACATCTATATCACCTATTTCTTACTGACTTCCATAGAATCCTTTGTTTTCCTATTTTTTCTAATACCTCTTCATTTCTAATATTCTCTATCCACGGTATGCTCATCATTCGCATGTAACTACATTTCGAACGCTTCCAACCTTCTCTTTTCCGCCGCGCCCACTGTTCATGTTTCGCATCCGTACAGCGTCACGTTCCAAACATACACCTTTAACAATCTTTTTCGAATTTCTAAATTAATCGTTGCGCTATCCTTTGCTTTATATCCATCCTCACTACTCCTTCCGTCCTGACTTATCTGACTTCCTAGATACCTAAAATCAGTCACATCTTCTAATTTTTAGTCTCCTATCTTTATATTCGCTCTTTCCCTACATTCTTTTATACCAATATTTTTGTTTTACATTTATCTATTTTCATGCAATACTGTTTTGTCAATACCGCTTCCATTTAAATAAACCGTAAAAATTTTCGAATTATCGGTTTAAAAAAGATCATTAAGCTTGGTTCAGCAGAAGCCGAAAAAACGAGCAAGCTTTTCAGGACTACTGAATCGACTTCGAGTTGGTTTGGATTATTGTATTTAATATTTTAACGAGGTTGTCCATGTCCACAATTGTTGAAAATTCATGTATTGTAAGTGCTACGACTAATGAAGTTCTTGGCCAAAAAACAGCTCTGATATCCTTAAATTTTGATTGTAAATTGAGTTCAACATTGCGCTCTGGGAATGCATTAGAATGTTCTCGAATGTCGTCAGCTTTAATGCTCTCGAAAGGCTCGTAGAATGCTCTAGGGTGAAGCAGAGGAATCAAGGTTTAGGAATTTTCAAGAACTACTATACATGAGTGGTGGAGACGATATTGATGATATGAAAGTATATATCGATCAAACTATTTGGAATCTCCTATGATGTCCAAATACTCGTTCGGAATGTTTCTACAGTAGTTCTCAGCTAGAGCTTTCTTAAATACGAGGGTGGATTGATAAGTTTCCGGCCTGACCAAGAAAAACAAGGTTTTTAAAAATTTTTTTTTTTTATTTCTCAACATAATCTCCTCCAAGGCTGATACATTTCTCATAGCGGTGTTCCAGTCTATTAATGCCATCTCTATAGACTGATTCGTCAAGCTCCTCAAAATAACCATTNTATGAGTGTTTTCGCAGAAATGGGATCATCATCATAAGGTCGTTAGTCTTAAGACTGGTTGGACACTCACTTCCACTCTTTTCTATTCTGAGCTAATCTTCGCATTTCCCTAAAACTGGAAAAACCCATAACCTTGACTATTTGCAAACAATAATCTAATCGAATATGTCTCTGACTAGACTTTCATGCCTGAGTAGGCGTCCTACCAACCTATCTCTATTATATCTCTTCATTTCTAACCTTCTCTAACCACGGTATCCTCATCATTCGCCTGTAACACCACATTTCGAACGCTTCTAATCATTTCTTTTCCGCCGCGTCCACCGTCCATGTACATACACCTTTAACAATCTTTTCCGAGTTTCTAAATTAAACGTTCACGAGCATGGAAGTGACTTCTTTTTATTGAAGGCGACTTGACCCTGCGCTATCCTCTGCTTTATAACCCTACTTCTTCTAATTCTTCGTCTCTTACCTTTATATTCCCTTTTTTCCTACTTTTTCTTCTCTTGCATAATTTATCGTTAATTTTGATAACCTCAAACGATTTTAAACTAAAACTTGTAACCAATCAACTCTTCCACTAAACCCCTTAACCTAAAAATTGATGATCTCATATCGCTATATCCTCGTAATCAAAATACTGAAACAGTTTTGCCTAATCTCTCACCATAAAACCGTTTGTGACACAAAATTGAAGTTGCCTCCTCGTGGTGTATCTACATCGGGCAAGTTACTGCTATGGGTCTCATAAAAGTTATAAAGAATTATACAGAGTTTAACTCCTTGAAAATCAGGAGGAAGTTCTATTTTAATTTTTTGAAATATACGGCAGGAATAGGTTTTCGATGAGAGATTCAGAGGTTAGGGGTTTAAAGGTTTGTGAAGTTGTACATTTAGTGGAAGAGTTAATTGGTTACTTCTTCAAAATCGTATGGGATTGTCATGATTAACGGTTTTAATGAATTTTTGGAGATTATTTGAGGTTATGTTCAAACTCTAACAAACTGGGATTAAATTGACTGCGGGTTTGGATTTAGCGATTCCAAAAAGAAACAGTATACATGGTCAGATCCCCACACAGAATAATTTCTTTTGTGGGGCAGTTATTATGCGATGAAGTCAAAAAAAAAGGCAAAAATAATTCTTACTGATGGTAAAAATTTTCGAAATGATTATTGTGTACGAAAGAGTTGTTGATTTACGTACAGTGTCTAAAATATTTTCCTAAACGTAACTTCCAGTAAAATAGTTTGAACAGGAGGTGTCAATTTTATCCCTGTAGGTCATTAGTATTCAATTTAACCGTCATAGAGAACTATGAAGGAACGCTTTGCCGGAAGGTTAATTTTCTCAGCTGGTCGATCACGTAGAAACGTTGGATGGAGCCTGCTTGCTCTCAAGCGGCCTAAAATTCAATTGAACCGGACTGAGCCTCACTAATATTAGAGTTCGCCTCCATATCTCCTAATAGATTTCTAAATCGATATGGATTAAAGATATTGAATAGGCGTATTAAAGTGACTAATTCCAAACAAATCTTTTATTATGCTGTTTCAGTTCTTTTCTGCAATACATAATAGCATTTGCGATTGGTATTGAACTGAAATTAAAAGGATTATATCTGATAGTATCTTAGTATATTATACGAGAACATTCAGTAGAAGTCCAATATTTATCATCGATGTAAACATAACGAGAGAATAAAGAAATCTGTAGGATATGTGGCCGTTTAAAATTCAAATCATGAAATTTTCGAAAAATACAGCAGTTTTCGTTCAGCTGCTCTTTGAAAGCATACTCCTTACTAATTTCAAGAAAATATAATGTTGTAATGTAAAATTGAAAAGACAGCAGGACGAAATAGGAATGCATTGTCTCAAGTATCAGAAATAAAAACCTACTGATTGGATCAATTGGATATTATCAAACAAGTGAAGGTAACTGGCATCGACATACCTACACCTGACAACCGAGTGGTTTGTCCAGGCAAAGTATAGGCAACCCAACGGCGGCACATTCTATACGTTTGATACTTTAAGTCAGGGTAAACATTTTCTTATTATCTTAATGTTGCAACGTTTTATTAAAAATCATTTTTTAAAAAATAATTAAAAATAGTCTGTCCAGGATTTTTTTAGGCAACCCATTCTTGACATATTTTCTAATACACTAAATTTGTTATAAAATATGTTTCATTCTATTATCAGCTCGGTGAAGGTCGTTTTAGGTTCGGATCTTAGACTAACATAATAAATGAGGTGCTTAGACCTGCATAATCAGCAATGTTTACTTTTTGCAATGATTGTATTGTTGACTGTCTTTAGATACTTAGTATTTAATTTTTACGTTACTTACTGTCTTGTACCTAATGAAGTATGTTACATTTCAATTATATGAAACATTTAGATAATTAATTGTGGTTAATATCAAATATTATCGTGAAAAATCATTTTCAATTTTTTATCACTATAAACTGTCTCAGGTTAATATGAAGGGAAATTTATTGCTGTTGTCACAATGGTGTTACATTCTCGCTACGAGAGCTGACAACAGCAACAACGACAAACAGTACTTATTAGATCTGTCGAACTAATGTAATTACATGAATACTTTATTTAATAGTGGTTAATATCAATTGTTAATGTGAAAAAAATTGGATATGAATTTTCACATTAAATATTTCAATTAAGTCAATCTTTTTTTCGTTTAAGAGTCTTTAATACAATTTTTTTAAAGCTGTGACAACATATTCAGATATGAAAAAAATTACGAACAAATAATGCAAGTGGGCATAATGTGACTAATTATCTTGAAAAGTTTTCTACATAACTATGAAAGCTCATTTAACACGTTCTAATTTGTCAAAAACACTGAATCGTGTTTATTGCAGTTGTTTGTTATCTGATACGAATGTATAAAAGGAGACGTCAGGTAGTTCTTACATGTAATTTCGATTACAAAAAATACGTATTCACTAAAGTGTGTGTCCCTTTCGTAGCAAAATGAAGCATCTTTTCACCCTTTTCGTCTCAGTGTATGTGTGTTTCTTTCAAGTAAATACTATTGAAGGTAAGATCATTCTAGAAAAAGTTACAACTAGTAAAATTTGTATATATGTATATACTCTTAACAAAGATTAATCAGTGTAAAGAATTTTAGATTGTACAGTTTATAAATAAAAGTATTTTCTAAAACATAATGAAGCATTTTGTTTTGTTATATATTATTGAAAGTCAGTTGATAGATTTTCGAACTATTTCTCGTTAATTATAGTAGGTACCTCTATAAAGAAAAATTTTCTTATTAAATTTTATTTTACATTCAACCATTTCCCGTAACACCTTTATCAATTATTATTTGTTTTAATTTTAGGGCGCGGTTTGACTTCACTTGGAGGTAAGCACAGCTAAACTTAAAACATTTTATTGTTATAACATTTTGCAATTCAATGACGATTGAGCCGCCAGATCGTCTTTGTAAACGTGAAACTACAATTCGTTTGAATACGGACCTGTATCATTTGTAGATGACTAACATTTTCTTCTACAATGGGGATTCCACCAACGAACACTNCCTATATCAACGTGTTCGCAATAAAACAACGCTTATATTGATATAAATTTTTTTCTATTATCAAGCTAGTGAAGGTAACTGGTACCGACATACCCGCCTATACCTGACAACCGCGTAGTTTGTCCAGGCAAAGAATAGGCAACCCAACGGCGGCACATTCTATACGTTTGATACTTTAAGTCAGGGTAAAAATTTTCTTATTAAATTTTATTTTACATTCAACCATTTCCCGTAACACCTTTATCAATTATTATTTGTTTTAATTTTAGGGCGCGGTTTGACTTCACTTGGAGGTAAGCACAGCTAAACTTAAAACATTTTATTGTTATAACATTTTGCAATTCAATGACGATTGAGCCGCCAGATCGTCTTTGTAAACGTGAAACTACAATTCGTTTGAATACGGACCTGTATCATTTGTAGATGACTAACATTTTCTTCTACAATGGGGATTCCACCAACGAACACTCAGCTCACTTCTTATAACGAAATTAAAAAATTACGCCTAGGAATACTTTTAATTCAATAATTTTTTTTATTAATTCTAGTAGTATAGTAGAAATTCTATATTTAATGTTTTTTAAATTCTTAAACGACGTGCATTATTATTATCATTTCGTACAACTATTTTGATTAATCTGTTCTATACCGTCTCTAATAACTTTAATACTTCATAATACCATCCCATCCTATTATTCTATAATGTTGAATACTGCAAAATAACGTATCCTTTCCTTTATTGACAATGTAGGTAATATGCTTTTCTCTTCGTAAGTGACTCGATTAGTACTCATTACCACTCTAGTGATCTAAATATTCCACCACCATACGGTCGTCAGTCCTAAGACTGGTTGGATACGTACCTCAATTCTGTTCTATCCTGAGCTAATCATCCGACTCTTGAAATATTGCACCTACTTCTATTGTACTTATTGATGACATCCCCCGAGGTAGTCCCCGCCCGGACATCCGAATGGGGGACTAGTTTACGTCCGGAGTGCTTTACCCCAGAGGACGCCATCATTTAATTTGTAACGTACGTTTTACTCGGGATCATAATGTGGTGGTTTCCCGTTGCCTTCCACATCGCAGTATTGTGCATCAGAGTGCCATACCAATCCTAGTCATCTCTGCCACCCTGTGGGACTTGTGTTAGTCTGGTTTCTCTTTAAGAACCCCCCATTACGGTTGAACCTATGGTCTAGCTCTCTAAATCATCGAAACTAGCAAGCCGATCCATCCACTCTAGTTTGTACAAGAGTTTTGTCAAGGTTCAAGTTCCTTCGGACCAGATCTAAATATTGCGGCTACTATAAAATTCAAAATACATAAAAACAGTTTTTGTTGGATTCAACGAAAGTCCATTACAAGTTAATCATGCAGTGACATTGTGTAAATATTTATCCATTTTTTTGTTTAGCATGGGCCCAGTTATTTGATTATTTTGATATTAATAATTTGATAAAATGTTTTTCACGATTAACTGTATCAAAGGCTTTAACTATATCTAAACATGTTACAGCAGTTTATAAAATTATTCCGTAACAGAATACCTTTAACACTGCCATTTTATTTATGTAATAACTTTTTAAGTAACATCACCATTATTAATTAATCAGTCCTTGTCATACGTATATGACCTTTCATCGACTCGTAAGTTCAACTTACTCTTCCGACCTCGCTATTTATAGAGGCTGGGCTTCTACTAGAAGGATTCCAAAATGCTGATTCTAAAGACTGTGATCTTCTTAGCATAGTCGTAAATGAGCTCGTTTCCCTTTATGCCGCTATTGCCCGAAACCAAGAGCAATACTATCTTGTTTAGAGTCGATAATCTATTGATGGCCTGGTGACAGACTTGTAACTTTTCAACATTGTAAAGTATCCTCTGAGGGCCGCTAGAACACTTTTACAGTCAGTGCATATGTATATGTGCCCACTGTTGCTATCAGCAGGTATTTTCTGGACATAACAATCAATGGCCATTGCTTCGTCCTGAAAAGGAGTGGCAAACTGACCCAATGTTCTGAAAGTCTACCCCATTTTGGCTCCTGTAAATGTCAATTGTACTCCTACTCGTGTTTTTAGACCCATCTATAAACTATAGGTCAGCGTCATATGACATGGAGATTTTTCCTGAATACCAGTCCCTTTTAGAACAGAGACTAATCCTATATTCTTTAACAACGAGGAAAAGGGTCTTTACGCGGACAGGGGGCATCAAATTTATCTTCCTCTCTGCAGATGTTTCTGATCTTACAGACAGGGACGTTGGAGCAGGGCTGGATAGATACCATCGGACCTCGGTGATTTGAAATGGCTGAAGGATCTTATTGACCGTCTGACTTTTTCAGGTGTAACGATCCTATTGACTAGCAGGCGGAGTTCCCCCAAAGGAGCGAGAATCATCCTAGGGCAGTCACCATGAGTGGAAGAGAAACCATTCATCTCCCTATATCTAAGAGAAACTGGGAAGTGCTCCAAATTAGGCAGGTCGATATTTAGCTAGCGTATGTTCCGTCTTGAAGCTATACAGTCCCCGAATTGTTTCGGGATTCATTGAGAAGAACCTATCAATTCTAGCTACGTCTACTCCTTCGTTGGTCGTCCTGCAATCAATAACCCTAAAATAGTTCATCATAAGTCTGTATGAGTCACAGAAAAGGGGCTGTGGGAAAACGATGGCTCGTCAGATGCTTTCTAGTTTCTGATCTTGTGTGTGATGCTTTTCGTATAGAAGGTAATATTGATTACCTTTTCTCTTATGACGTTTCTAAAGGTCAGATTATTCCCCACGTTTCGGATATCTAGGTCGGCTGTGAATAGAAATTCCAATAAATGCCTTTTGTTTGGTATCAAAGGTGCCGCCCACTATGTGGTAGGAAATAGCATCTTAACCTTAAATCGAAGAGGTAATGTTATCACGACAATAACTCAGCAATCTACGATACTCAGCACAGCGGCGGGCTTTTCCAGTGGACCTGGAATCCTGGCTACTTCCTTGGAAAAACTCTGAAGGAGATTCATCTCTTCCACTTTAAGAGTTCCTTTTTTCCAGGGCGTAGTAAAGAAGGTGATCAAATTAACCACGTTATCTTTCACCTCTGGGCAAAGGAAATGACGGCAAACGCTCCCCGTCTATCTTTGACCACTCCGCGAGCTACAGAAGATACCGTCACTCTCCTTTATCGTCTTTTCTCTGCAAAACTGCTTCCTGGCGGCCCCGTAGAGTCGCTTACTGTTCTTTGTCAGAAGTGTTCGGAACCGATAATACTCCTTCAGCGGAAGAGGCTGAAGCAACAGCTTCCGTGCCTCCCCACGTTGTTATCCCTTAGGTCCGGGCCTGGGACAGGGAAGAATCAAAAGACGCTTCTTTGACTTCAATACCCTAAGTTCCGGGGTTTAGTGTTGTAATCTTTGTTGTACTTGTATTTTTGTTTTTTTTTTATTTTGTTCCCGTAAGTGGCGGATTTAAGGCTAAATACATGCGGCACCGCTTGCGAGCGTTCAGTACCCCGAGAGGATAACAAATCTATTAGGCAGGGTACGCGTGACACCGTCTGTTTGGAAAGTGGAGGTTACCCTTTCGGCTGAACCACAAAGCTGCATCGGGAACCGATTTTTAGTCGCTCAAGATAGTCGCCGCTCTTTTCACGGTTCATAAACCGTTCCGTAATCGTGTAATGACCACGAGGTCGGGTAAACCAGAGGACTCTTTCACCCTATTTTCATCCAACATTCAAGGAAATCCCTTTTCAAGAGAATCTACATGCACCGGGAGAACCTTACTCCAAAGGGTCCCTTCAACCATTCATACGTGCAAGCAGGGTCATTACATTTTAAAGTGCAAAACTATCAGCAACTTAAGCGCCACCCCCCCCTCCGCTAGGTGGTGCAGCTTCTAGGAGTGTTGCGTTTCGTAGATTGAATACCATTTATTTAGGAATACTGTAAAATATAATATTGTAAATTATAATCACTGGGACAGTAGTGGAGCGCGCCACTGCATGGGTGCGAAACGTGGACGGTGGTCGCGGTCGGAAAAGAAAAGGTTAGAAGCGTTCGAAATGTGGTGTTACCAGCGAATGGTGGATACCGTGGATAGAGAAATTAAGAGGTATTAGAAAGAATAGAACAGAGGACTGTACGGAAATTAATAACAAAATAGGCGAGATAGGTTAGTAGGACACCTTCTCAAGTAAGAAGGTCTAGTCAGAGACATATTAGAGGCAGAAACAGGAGTTAAGAGGAATAGAGGTGGACCTAGATTAGATTACTGATCACAAATACTTAAGGATGTGGAATGTTCTAGTTTTAGGGAAATGCGAAGATTAGCTCAAGATAGAAAAGAGAAGAGGTGCGTGTCGAACCAGTCTTAGGACTGACGACTTTATGATGATTATGACGCAGAAACATTGATTTATAGGTGTAAAATGCTATGCACATTTCACACATTTAAATGAGGACTTCCCCATTAGCTTGCGTGAATTGCTATGCACTAAAGATTCATGTTAGGTTTATAATTCAAAAGGTTTCTAGTAATTGACATGTGTGAGTGCTAAGCACATTGAGACTAAGTTACGTTATGATCTTATACAAGCAATATGTTTAATTTTGTTAATTTATCATTACAGGTCTATTTTCTGGATTGTCGGGTGGTAAGTGTTTAGCAGATTTCTTGCAAAACTACTTTGTATATTAAACCTATGTTTTTAATACTTCATACTAAATAATAGTGGAGTCATATTAGATTTTCATTTCTAAAAAATTGTTCGGTAGGTAATTCATTTTGGAATACTTGTAAAAAAAGTATGTGGACTATTATATCTAAAAAATGGGTGCTAATTTTTTTTAAATTTTTGCAAAGAAACTGACAGCGCTATTCGAAACAACGGGAAATTTTACAGAAAAACCTTATTTAATAATCAACTGAAATTAAACAAACAGTAATTTGTTAACGAATGTTGAAAAAGTGGGACTGCTCAGGCGCGCATGCCGCACATCCATAAGTAAGTATAACATTTTATTGACAAACGCAAATAACATAAAACCAGTTGGATTTCAAGCGGACCAGATATGTAAATGTAGCATATATAGTATGGTTTCCCGTCACATCACATTTATATTAATCATCAACTAATTTTCGTAATTTTTCACGGATTTACCAGGTCTGTTCAAAAAGTATCGCGAATTTTGTGTTTTTTTAAAATTCATTTATTTATTCATGAATATCTATTTTGTCCCCTTGAAACTAATCCCCACCAGATATTATACAATTGTGCCAACGTTTCTTCCCCATTCTCAAAGCACTTCAAAAAATCATTTTTTGTGATCTACTTCAAGTGTTCCTTCGATGCGGTCTTTATCTCCTTAATCGTAATGTAGCGTATTCCTTTCATGGGACTCTTCACTTTCTGGAAAAAGGTCACAGGGAGCCAAACGTGGGGAATACGGTGGCTGCGGATCATTTGTGTGTTGCTTTTGGACAAAAATTCGCGCACAAGCAACGATTTGAGAACAGGGCCGTTATCATTGTGAAAAAGTCAATTTCTGATCTGATCCATAAATCCGGGTGTTTTTGGCGAATTGTTACCCGCCAATGGCACATAACTTGCAGATAATATTCCTTATTGACCATTTTACCCTGTGACAAAAGCTCATGATGCACAACACTCTTTCAATCAAAGAAAACTGTAAGTAAAACCTTCACATTCGACCTAACTTAGCTCGCTTTTATATGGCATAACCATAAACCCATGATTTGTCACTAGTTATGACCCTCTGGGGCAAAGTTGGGTCGACGCAGTCCAACAGCTCCTTAGCGATATTAATGCGATGCTGTTTGTAGTCGAAATTGAGCAATTTTGGTATAAATTTCGCAGCGACCCGTCTCATGCCCAAATCATTGGTCAAAATCGAATGGCAGGAGCGAATCGATATGTTTAAGTTCTCAGAAACTTCTCTTATGGTGATTCGACGATTGGCCAATACTATTTTCTTCATGAAATCCTACAAATGACGCGGTAAGCGCCATCTGTAGTACAATGCTACATTTAGTGGAATTCATTATGCTCAACAAGGTTCATTTAAATAGATGGATTTTACGACAATTACAATTACAACCTAAAGGTTTGTAGGATTTCATAAAATGCGCTGTGTTAAGGCAGCAGGTAGAGCTGGTCTGTGTTCTGTCGAAACTATCTGCGACGCGCTGATGAGATCCAACAAGATCGAAATCGCGATCCGCGTCTGGAAGCTTCGACAGAATACTGACCACTTCGATTTTGTTTGTTCGATTTTGGTAACGTGCCTATCACGTAGTGGTGAGCTACGCCTTCCATTTAAATGGAGCTTGTTGAGCATAATGAATTCCACTAAATGTAGCATTGTACCATGATGGCGCTTATCGCGTCATTTGTAGGATTTTATAAAACGCGCTGTGTTAAGGCAGAAGGTAGAGCTGGTTTCTGTTCTGTCGAAACTACCTACGACGCGCTGATGAGATCCAACAAGATCGAAATCGCGATCCGCGTCTGGCAGTTTCGACAGAATACTGACCACTTCGAATTTCTTTGTACTATTTTTTTCAGTTCATCAATGTTTTTGTCTGTTGTTGACGTGCTTGGGGCGTCCGGCACACTCTTCGTCGTCAACATCTTCTCGGCCCTCTGAGAACATTTTGTACCACCGATGAACGGTACAAGTGAGAGACATGAGTACCAACATAAAGCCAGAAAAGAATCATCATCATCATCATCATCTTAAGGTCATCAGTCTTAAGACTGGTTGGACACGTACCTACACTCTTTCCTAAACTTCGCATTTCCCTAAAACTAGAACAGCCCATATCCTTAACTATTTGCGAAGAGTAATCTAATATAGGCCTACCTCTACCCCTCCTAACTCCTGTTTCTGCCTCTAATATGTCTCTGACTAGACCTTCATGCCTGAGAAGGTGTCCTACCAGCCTATCTCGCCTATTTTTTATTGTCTTCCATAGAGTCCTTTGTTCTCCTATTCTTTCCAATACCTCTTCATTTCTAACCTTTTCTACCCACGATATCCTCATCATCCGCCTATAACACCACATTTCGAACGCTCCGCCGCTCCCACTGTCCATGTTTCGCACCCGTACAACGCCATGCTCCAAACATACACCTTTAACAACCTTTTTCGAATTTCTAAATTAACCGTGCGCGAACATAGAAGTGACTTCTTTTTATTAAAGGCGACTCGACCCTGCGCTATCCTCTGTTTTATATCCCTACTACTCCTTCCATCCTCACTTATCTAACTTCTTTATTATCTGACTTATTATCTGACAAAAGAATCGAAATTTGTATATTTGTAACCCGCGGAAATTCAAAATTCGGGATGCTTTTTGAACAGACCTCGTATATTAGAGATATTTAATTTGGACAAATTTGTATTAATTTGTTATCATTAAACAACTAAGCAATTCGTCCTGACGACTTTTGGGTTTCGTCGTGGTCCGGTGAGTTTCGCCAGCTGATGCGGTCGGCATCTTCAGTGGTAAATGTCTTGACCGATCAGCGTTGCCAGGTTCAGTAGATAGAATTTTCGCCCTCTTTAGGAAAAATTATCGTATTAACATCAAAAATATCGTACGTTATTGCGCATGCGCATCTAGTGGTGGGAGTATGAATTTGTAAAGAGAGTCTGTGTACCCCAGTGGTTTTCTCAGTTCTATTATACCATCAATAGATGACACTATAAAAACTTTCCTGACAGGCTAATAACTTCAAATAGAAAAATGAATTTCGGACTGGATTTTAAACATTTTGGAAGAAAGTTCTTTTTTTAGAGTCCATAAACAATTAAATTTTATTGAATGTATACAAATAAACAACTTTTCAACATATATTTATATATCTATGCATATAGTGTATATATTTTAACATTATAAAATTGTACTTAAGTTCTTAAAATCAACTATTCAACATACATAAAAATATTTTTTTTATAATAAAATCTAATACAATAATGATAATAATCAACGTATTAATTCTGTTTTATTATTATATCGTCATCACTATCATTACCATTATTCTTATTATTATTTTTGTAAAGATTATTCGAATTATCTCAAATTTATTGCATCCCCTATTCATTTCAATACACTGACTTGTAAGTAAAAGCCCGTTAACCGTCGCCAGTTTAGCAAGGAGAAGCTCTTAGGATCTACCTGAGAAGCTTTCGAGATTCAAAAGAGCCAAATTTGCCCGGCTCTGTTGTAAATTAGAGAGAATTTGTATTTTTATGAAGTGAAAATACCCAGACTGTTCAAATGACCATTTGTTCTATTAACAATAGATTTTAAGAAGGAAGAAAAACACGACAACAGGTTGGCAGAAACAAATATCATAGTCCCACTACATATTACTATTTGAAAATATTTTTTTATCCCATAAGCACGAATTATCGTACGTTTAATAGAAATTTGAATTACGATATCGTACATTGTATTTGAAGCAAAATTATCGTATGTCTCCATAATTATCGTACAGGCTGGCAACGCTGTGACCGATTCATGCGACTACGGCTAATCTTAAAAGTCTTCAGAACGAGTATGGACTCGAACCGTGAAAGTATACGTTTGACTAAAAATAACAATTTCCCAATCAAAACTACTTAAAAGTGAATGTAAAAGAATTCATAAAAAATGCAGATCGCGGAATTATTATAAGTTTAGGCCATATTTTGTTTAATATGACTACCCTATAAGGTTAGCTTACGATACTCTATTGTTTACTACTCACTTCCTAAGAATTTCCACTGCGATCGTTTGTTTCACGACATACACGCCTTTATTTTAATTACTTATTTTATTTTTTTAGGAGGTGATTCTTCACCACTTGGCAAAACAGGTAATGGTCACTTCATTAATATGTTAAATTGTTATTATAATCACTGAAATTTTGTGAGGATTCCTTAAATATAAATTTCTCCTTATTTTCAAAGTTTCGTCTCTTTGTTGGTTTTATTATATGGCGTCAACACATTAAGGCGCCTTCAGATAACCATTGGAACCGCTGATAATAAGTTCTAATTTGATCAAGTGTATATAAACCTTTTTTTAACTACGTGTTTCCTTTTTAGGAAAGGCTACACAACCAACCAACACAGGTAATAACTGATACCATCAATTGACAACAGTTTCGGTTGCCCGAAATTTATATTCTTTATTTATTTAATTGAATTACAAACTTGGATGAAAGTCCTAGTATGGTTTTCAATTGTCAATTTTCCGGAAATGGCAAATTACGTTAAAAATACACATAAACATTGAAACTCGCCAAGTGTTTTAATCAATTTAGTATATATATGTTGCTTATTTCAATATGTTTCAGTTTTCATTTTTAAAAAATGTTTACATTTTTTGAAGAACTTATTAATAGATATAATTAATCATGATAAAAACAAACTTTATTTTAATCATTGGGATATTCAGATCATTATAATTCGATAATAATTACATATTTAAGACATTGTTTTATTAATTACTAATAGTGGCCAATGTTAATATGCAACACCAACTTTTCGATTTTTGAACCACAACAAATTTCCTCAAATTAATGAAGAAAATAGTTTTGTTGCTGTTGTGACCCCCCGCCGGGAATTATGTATCTGTTTTTATTTAATTTTATGCATACAAATCTAGCGCTTTGACAGCATGTAAAACAACCTTATCCCAGTTAAAATTTTAATCACCAGACGTCGCGACCAAGCGCTCAGTTACCATTAGCAAAAGGCCTACTGTTTCGCGCACGGTATAAGAACATAAGTTTCGTGACCGAAATGTACAGTACAATTAAGATTTGCACCACATTTAAACAAGTCAATGGGACATTTATTTGCTTTTAGAATGCCAAGATGGAAGTCGTGGTAGTAACTCTGGAAGTGGAACAGGTAATATTCAATTATATGTCATTTTAAAATTGTTATTTACAAATAAGATCTAATTACAACAGAAATATTGATTTCGATGCAATTCACAAAATAAGTGAAGACGTTCTTTATCTACCTCGGCTGAGTAGCCGCCACTGCTACTATTTAGATCGTGTGTATTTTTTTACACAAGTACGGTTTGCTTTTAGGTGCAGTTTTCAGAACAGCCACTGGAACAGGTAATACTAAATTCCGGGTATTTGAACATTTCTTTCGACTGAAAAGAAAGTGAACTGTTAGGCCCTATAGCGACCTGAAGTAGACGGGTTTAAGTTGGTAGACGCTCTTCGGAGTCTTCTTCATCATTACCAGTCGTACGGGCGGCTGAGTGTCTTTTGATGATTTCCCATCGTCCACGAAAATTGGAATAAAATAACATGTTTCTTTGAGTATAGTATAATCTCTATATGTATGTCTATATTATATAGGGTTGTTCGGAAAGTCATTTCGTTTTTTTTTGTGGAAATGAAAGACAGTTTTCGTATAATAAACAAATACTTTTTTAAATTGTATATTGACCGTTCTGGTCCAACACCTTTTGCCATCTTTCTGGTAGTAGCATAATTCCACGCTCATAAAATTTTTGGTCTTTGCTGGCAAAAAACTGATCGAGGAGGTTTTTGACCTCCTCATTTGAGGTGAAGGTTTTACCGTCTAAAAAATTTTGGAGTGACCGGAACAAATAATAATCCGATGGTGCCAGGTCTGGAGAATATGGTGGGTGTAGCATTGTATCCCATTCAAGCTGTAAAAGCTTTTGGCGAGTGACCAAACTTGTGTGAGGTCTCGCGTTGTCTTGGTGAAACACTACACCTTTCCTGTTGATTAGTTCTGACCTTTTCTGTTGAAGTGCATCATTCAGTTTGTCCAGCTGATGACAGTAGACTTCCGAATTAATCGTTGTGTTATCCGGTAAAAGCTCAAAAAAAACGATTCCTTTAAAATCCCACCAAACAGACAGCATCACCTTTTTTTGGTGAATATCGGCTTTGGAAATGGTTTGAGCCGGTTCATCTTTTTTGCTCCATGACCTCTTGCGTTTGACGTTGTTGTATACAACCCATTTTTCGTCCCCAGTGATGATGCGCTTCAAAAACGGATCATTTTCGTGACGTTTGAGAAGCGAATCGCAGACGTCAATGCGGCGACACAGATTTCTCTCTGTGAGAACATGGGGAACCCATACATCGAGCTTCGAGGATAATCCCAGGCCTTTCAAGTGGTCATAAACTGTTGAATTTGATAAATTTAACCTCAATCCGATCTCACGTGTTGTTATTCGCCGGTTCACATCAACTAATGCCTTTATCGCGTCTTTATCAGCTTCAACCGGCCTTCCCGAACGTGGTGCATCTTCGACATCAAAATTGCCGGATCGAAATTTAGCGAACCAGTTCTGGCACTGGCGTACTGTCAACACACCTTCTCCATACACATCAGTCAATTTCTTTCTGGCTTGAACAGCATTTTTACCCTTTCTGCAGTAAAACAGTAAGATATGTCGAAAATGCTGCTGAAAAGAATTTATTAGAATTTTTCACACACAAGCCTTGCTGTATGAGCTCTCAAAGCATAGAAAAATTATACGGCTTAAATGTGAAGTTGGGAAAAAACGAAATGACTTTCCGAACAACCCGATATATTCCATACGTCCATACCATGCAAAATCTCCCTTTAGGATATATCTATCAATGAAAATCACTTTCCTATTATCTCTTTAACAGAGGGCATTGTTTAATCAAGAAAAACCATTTCTAAGAATTGACAATACGTCAAATGAAAACTTATCACTTCTAATATTTGCATTTCTATTTTTTTGTAGGGTGATTAATTGTAATAAATTCATATTCCTTCTAACAATAGATATTTTAAAAACTTCTATATAGCCTATTACTAATCTATCTGATTGACACCCATAACGCCCTCTGCTCTCCTATTCTTTCTAACGTCTCGCCAGTTCTAACGTACACTATCTAGGGTCAAACTTGAAGTGGTGATCCATGATTCGTGCTACTAAATGACAATTCGCATAGTGTATCTCTTGAGATTTTTTGTACTAAGGTCTACTGTTTCCTATACGGTATAAGACTATAACTTTCAAAACCGAAATTCATGGTAGAATTAAGTAGTCGAATAGTTGATTAAACGAATAACAATTTCATCATTTAACATGATTAGATACCAATGATACTTCTGCAAAATTAGCATGTATTATCAGAACTTACTATAGTTGTGGTGTAATGAAACATGTTTTACTAATTATATTTACTATATATATTAATAATTAAACAGCAATTGTTGCAATATTATATATATGTGAATCACTTTGACATTTAATAGTGGTTAATATCAAATATTAATGTGAAAATTCATTTTCAATTTTGTACCCACTATAAACTACTTACTTCAGGTCAATGAGGGAAAAATTGTTCCCGTTGTCACGCCCTCGCCGGAAATCGAACCCAGGACCTTTACGCACCAATACTCTGTCCACTAACTTTTAACCTGAGGTAGTTTATGGTAGGTAACAAATTGAAAATGAATTATCACATTAATATTTGACATTAACCACTATTAAATGTCAAAGTGTTTCATATATTATATATTAATATAATTAGATTAGTTCGAGAGATCTGTAACCTAAAAAGTACGATTTGTCGTTGTTGCTGTTGTTATCTCTCGTAGCTTAGTAGTGAGAGCATTGGTGCGTAAAGCCAAAGGTCCCGGGTTCGATTCCCAGCGAGGGTGTTGACAACAGCAACAAATTTTTCCCTCGTTAATGTGAGGTAGTTTATAGTAGATATAAAATTGAAATTGAATTTTCACATAAAAAATAATTATTTCGTTTATGAAGTCATCTCCAAGAATACAACTAGACGGTACCTACTTAAAATAAAGGTTGCGCAATGTGTTCGTTTATTTACGCATAGGTATACCTACAGAATCGTTATCAGTGAAAATACAGGTATCAAATATTGCATTATATATTATTTTGAGACGACAATTTACTAGTTTATTATTTACTTTTTATATTTTTTTTTGCTCTACTATTTGTTTTTAAGAAATTCTACTCAGTGGCGATTCCTGCACAATAACTGAATATAACATTTTTACACGAATGCTTTGCATTTGTTGCTATTATTAAGGATTACAGAATATTTATTTCGAAACTATCTACAAATTAAGTGAAAACGTTCTTTATTTACTTTGGTTATTTAACCGCCACCACTACTACTTCGATCGTTTGTTCTTTTTTTTACTTCCATATGTTTTCTGTTTTAGGTGGAGCTTCCACAGCAACCACTGGAAATGGTAAGTGATAGTTTATACTACATTTGAACATAACTATAAATGAGTTCCATTGCGCCTACTACATTCTGCTTATGTTTTTTCAATTGCTGTCCACCCCTTCTTAACGATTCTCCCTGTACCGTTTGAATTCAAAATCATAGCAAACTCTATGTGAAATACCTCACTTTAGATATACCTACGGATAAAAAACACTTTCCCATTATCACTTTAAAAGAAAAAGTTGTTGAATCAACCATATCGAACAATTGGCGATACGTTAAATAATAATTGGTTGCTTCGCTTCGCCACTTCTAACCTTTGCTATCGGTGATCAAATCTTCAGTCTTCAAGCTTAACAGTGGCGATCCGAGATTGGTCCTACTAAGCGACAAATCACATTGTACATTTTTAGTACCAAGTTCCACTGCTAAGGACATAAACTTTTTGACCAAAATTTATAGTAGAATTAAGATTCGGGCTCATTGACACCCATAGCACCTTCTGTTCTACTATTCCTTCTGGCGCCTCGCCTTTTCTAAGCTTTATTATCCGTAATCAAATTTGAAGTCTTGCCATCGATAGTTACATATTAAAGCTTAACAGTGGTCAATCCGAGATTAGTACTACTAGGCGACAAATCACATTGTACATTTTTAGTACCAAGCTCCACCGTTAAGGACATAAACTTTTTAACCAAAATTTATGGTAGAATTAAGATTCGGACTCATTGACACCCATGGCACTATTCTACTATTCGTTGTAACAACTCGCCACTTTTAAGCTTTATTATCGGTGATCAAATTTTCAAGCTTAACAGTGGCGATCCGAGATGGGTACCATTGGTATCAAAAGTGTATCTAACAATATTCACAGTGGCGACTCGCCCCAATAATTGTATATACTTTCATGATCGACGTTTATGGGGTAAATAAATAAGACTTTATTTACTTTTAGGGTGCCAAGGCGATAACTGCGGAACTGGAACAGGTATTGTCTTTTGTAAATTTTTGATCATTAATTATATTTTAAATTTTCAAAAATCTGCTAATAATCCGTGAAGTTGATCGCATTATGACTATCATAAGCCAGTTGTTGTGCAAAAAATGTTAGAGAACCGTTCGCTAGATGTTAGCGTCATGCTCATTAGTAGCACTGCTTGACTGTGTCTTCAACAATTTTTAAATAATTCTAGTACTGTATCAAAAGTGTATCTAACAATATTCACAGTGGTGACTCGTGCCAATAATTGTATATACTTTCATGATCGAAGTTTATGGGATAAATAAATAAGACTTTATTTACTTTTAGGGTGCCAAGGCGATAACTGCGGAACTGGAACAGGTATTGTCTTTTGTAAATTTTTGATCATTAATTATATTTTAAATTTTCAAAAATCTGCTAATAATCCGTGAAGTTGATCGCATTATGACTATCATAAGCCAGTTGTTGTGCAAAAAATGTTAGAGAACCGTTCGCTAGATGTTAGCGTCATGCTCATTAGTAGCACTGCTTGACTGTGTCTTCAACAATTTTTAAATAATTCTAGTACTGTATCAAAAGTGTATCTAACAATATTCACAGTGGTGACTCGTGCCAATAATTGTATATACTTTCATGATCGAAGTTTATGGGATAAATAAATAAGACTTTATTTACTTTTAGGGTGCCAAGGCGATAACTGCGGAACTGGAACAGGTATTGTCTTTTGTAAATTTTTGATCATTAATTATATTTTAAATTTTCAAAAATCTGCTAATAATCCGTGAAGTTGATCGCATTATGACTATCATAAGCCAGTTGTTGTGCAAAAAATGTTAGAGAACCGTTCGCTAGATGTTAGCGTCATGCTCATTAGTAGCACTGCTTGACTGTGTCTTCAACAATTTTTAAATAATTCTAGTACTGTATCAAAAGTGTATCTAACAATATTCACAGTGGTGACTCGTGCCAATAATTGTATATACTTTCATGATCGAAGTTTATGGGATAAATAAATAAGACTTTATTTACTTTTAGGGTGCCAAGGCGATAACTGCGGAACTGGAACAGGTATTGTCTTTTGTAAATTTTTGATCATTAATTATATTTTAAATTTTCAAAAATCTGCTAATAATCCGTGAAGTTGATCGCATTATGACTATCATAAGCCAGTTGTTGTGCAAAAAATGTTAGAGAACCGTTCGCTAGATGTTAGCGTCATGCTCATTAGTAGCACTGCTTGACTGTGTCTTCAACAATTTTTAAATAATTCTAGTACTGTATCAAAAGTGTATCTAACAATATTCACAGTGGTGACTCGTGCCAATAATTGTATATACTTTCATGATCGAAGTTTATGGGATAAATAAATAAGACTTTATTTACTTTTAGGGTGCCAAGGCGATAACTGCGGAACTGGAACAGGTATTGTCTTTTGTAAATTTTTGATCATTAATTATATTTTAAATTTTCAAAAATCTGCTAATAATCCGTGAAGTTGATCGCATTATGACTATCATAAGCCAGTTGTTGTGCAAAAAATGTTAGAGAACCGTTCGCTAGATGTTAGCGTCATGCTCATTAGTAGCACTGCTTGACTGTGTCTTCAACAATTTTTAAATAATTCTAGTACTGTATCAAAAGTGTATCTAACAATATTCACAGTGGTGACTCGTGCCAATAATTGTATATACTTTCATGATCGAAGTTTATGGGATAAATAAATAAGACTTTATTTACTTTTAGGGTGCCAAGTGGATCGGGTATTGTCTTTGATAGATTATTTATCATTAATTATATTTTAAATTTTCTATGAATTACTAATAATTGAATTGAATAATTTTATGAACGTATCATAAACGAGTTTTGCTTTAAAAATTAGAGGAACATTCGTTAGAGGTTTTTATTTTTAAAAAGTGAGTACTTCGATCGTGTGTCCTTTTTTTAAATACGTTTTCTTTTTTAGCAGATTTTACAGGAGCTACTGCAACAGGTAAATAATAGTCAATTCTAACAATCATTTAAATATTACCCATGTGTCGATACATTTTGTTCATATTTCTCATCTGCTATTTACGCCTTCTTAATGACTGAATCTGCACCATTCAAAATTGTTACAACAACAATACAAAAAGCATGCCATATCATCTAAAACCTCACTTTTGATTACACTTAGGATACGTTGAAATATAAAAATAATTTTTCTGTTATCTTATTTTTGTCGTCATTTTTCTATTTGATTATATTTGATTGTTTCTGGAAGCAAATGATACAATAAAATATCAATTTTATTTCAATTACTCTAAAATTGAAATATTCGCATATTTCCATTAGTATGTCATTTTGAAATTCCTAGTGCAATCGCTAATTGAATTATATATTCTGATTTTTGTTTTAAATTTTAGCTGAAAGTATGAAGAAGACTGTAGTAATGGAAAAGAAAACAGAGCATGAAATGTTCGCCGTAGTCCAAGGTAATCATTTAAATTGAATTGTTTTTACAAGTTCTGTCTTTCTTTTCTTGTTGGTTTTACCCTCAACCTTAAATTCCGAGTTATAAGTATTCTTTTTGTCTTTTGTTTTCCTTTTGTAGCATTTCTTTAGTAGTTCTAGTTGGATGATTCCTGTTTGACATTTGAAGGTATCCAGTACACTGACTGCGTTGGCAATGTCGGGCCGAGTTGCCACAGCCAGGTCCATCAGAGCTCCGACGAGCTCTCGGTAAGGGCGCTCCTCGTTGGTGTCGTCCACGTCGAAAGCAGGATCATAGAGGTTCACACCGGCTGCAAGAGAAGTAGATGCAGGGTTGCAGTTGGTCATCTCGAATTTGGCCAGGACATCTCGAACGTAGTTTGATTACGAGATGTGGATGCTCTCCCTCGTTCTATTGATCTGGATACCCAGACAATAGCTGGCTTGATCAAGGTTCTTTATTTAAAGCTCTTGGAGTGGGTGCCATTGAGCTGCTTGTCTCTACGTTGTTCTTTGGTGACAACGATCAAATCGTCGACATAGATGAGGAGAAAGGTTTGCCTGTCCCGATCCACGAAGAGGCAAGGATCTGAGTGAGTAGGTGTATATCCGTTATTCTTCATCTCGGAGGGGAGTTTCGAGTGCCACTCTCTGTCGTCCGGCTCGTTTGAGTCCGTCGATGGCGCGGTCGAGCTGGCACACCTGATTGCCCTCAAGGATCTTCTCTCTCATGAGAGGGTCTTTGTCCAGCTTGGAGATGGTCTTCAGGGATTTTTCGAGTACTTCGGGCAACTCCATGAAGATGTCCGTGTAGATATCTCCATAGAGATATGCCATTGTCACGTCGTGCTGAGTACGGTTCTGGAGCCGAAGACTTTGCGGTTTGGTGGTCGGTCAACCATGCCAGGCGTTTTTCTTCAGCAGGCTCCAAGTCTCGATGTGGATATCCTCCATCCATCCCTCCTTTTCAGGACCAGAGATCGCATCAGAAAGATGGATTTCTGAGCAGGACATGGCGAATTCGACATCCGCCCAGTCGGCATCTTCTTCAGAGCAAATAGTGAGGCAGCTTGGTTCGTCACTTTCGAGATCACAGGATTCAGTCGATTTTTCGTCGTCCTGTTGTTAGGCATCTGAATGTTTCTCGTTGTGTCTCGCCTAGGAATTTTTCTCGGTGTAGTGACACTTTTTAGCTGGTCTGTGTGGTTTACCAGTCTTAACTTTAGCTGATCGCTCTGGTCCTCGCTTCGGGGGAAAGATGGTGTCGTCGGCCGTGACATTCAAGTCAGGTTGCGTATCAACATGCCGCCGGTTGTCAACTCTCGCCCGCTGCTGAGCTGGAGTAGGAGGCACAGCTTGAGTTGTGAAGTCGTCGCCTGGTGTGTTGGTCATCTTTATAAGTAAGCAAGGGTTCATTTGATACGATCTATCTTTTATAATATGTTGGCTTCAATTCTTATTTAATCGAATACATCTATTCTTTTGAATAACAATATGCTGAAAGAGCTAAAACTTCAAATTACAGTTCAGTGTAGAACACCCTGTATATTACAGTCAATTTTGATATCATTATTAATGTTGTTTCAGCTTTTTTAAGCATTATCTAAATCTTACTGATATACCTATTTATTCGCTGTTTTAAAATAAAAAAAAGATAATTTTAAGAAATAAAGTTATGATTTCCTCACTTTATGCTCAAATATTCTCAACAAATAAAACAACTAATTTTACAAATCCGAAAGATTACTACTATGAAATTATTTAAATTGACCATAATATACAAAGTATTTGATATTAATTTATTAGAAAATTGTAACCATATTCTTCACTCGTTCTATGAGTATATCTATATATATAAATATTAGAAGTAGAAAAGCATTATATAAGTCTACCTAAAATCCTAAGTAGAATTCAAAACCGTCATAATATACAGGGTGTTCCATTTAAAATAACGAAGTTGGTGTCAACTTCCAGTATAACCTGAAGTGATAAATGGATGCCGTTATTTTAATTGAGGAGAGCCTATACATAAATCTTGAGTCACTCAGTATAGACATAACTTATCCAACACTCTGTGTAATCAGAAATTATTTCTATTTACATTGATGCAACTTCTGGATTAAACTGTTTTTTTAGCTTCTACAAAACCCAGTAACTTTTATCTTATGTCGAATATACATTACTCTGTATTATACCAGTCAATTGCTTTTATTATTTTGGAATGTTCTCGAGTTTTTCTGGGAAAGCACGTTCCCGAACCTTCATATTCATATTTATTTATTGCCCAGAAAAACAGGAGGTGCGTCTTCAAGAATGGGAAACAAAACAAAATAAAACATAAAATTTGGTTAATACGGAAAAAGTTCTACAGTTGTTGAATGGCATTTTTTTCCCAACTTCTTTAAAATTGGACTATTAATTGTACTGTACAGATAAAAATTATCTGAATGTTTTTCACTTCTAGATGTAAAGTTCAGAGAAGTAGCGGATTCTGGAAACATGGGCGAAGGTACGTAACAACCAAATAAGCAATTTATATTAATCTTTTCACTGAAATCATAGCAACGTACTGCTAAACAAACAAATTCGAAGTGGTCTGTATTCTGTCGAAACTGCCAGACGCGAATCACCACTTTGATCTTTTTGGATCTCATCAGCGCGTCGCAGACAGTTTCGACAGAAGACAAGCCAATTTTTACCTACTGTCTTAACAGCGCGTTTTATAAAATACTACAAATGGCGTGGTAAACGCCATCTGTAGTACAATCCTACATTTAGTGGAATTCATCCAAAAAGATCAAAATCGCCATCCGCATCTGGCAGTTTCGACAGAGTACTGATCACTACGAATTTGTTTGTTCGATTTTGGTAACGTGCCTATCACGTAGTGGTGAGCTACGCCGTGGATTCAGTTCAGCAAGTAAATATCCATCTAGTTAAATGGACCTTGTTGAGCAGAATAAATTCCACTAAATATAACATTGTACTACAGATGGCGTTCACCGCGCCATTTGTGGTATTTTATAAAACGTACTGTTTCTCAAATTGCGTATCACTTCTTATTTCCGTTTCCTTCTCAGCGTAATTTCTTATATACTTTCCTTTTTATAACCTGATAATTCCAACACCTTGCCCTAGCATGTATCTTACTCTAATATTGTTTTCTAATTTTATTAACCATTTTACTGCTTCTGAAAAAAAAGTATACATATATATACATTTACTTAATTTTCATGTTCATCACCTTATGTAAACTCAGCACTTATTTATGTTACACCCTGTATAGTTTTTAATTTTGAGATACATAACTTATTTATTGGCATCATTTTTTTTTTCGTAAGAATTGGATCCACCAAATACACACGTAATTTGTGGATTCAATCTAACGGTAGAAATAGCATATGGGGTAGACATTTCTAACGTAAATTGAACGGAAGAGGCTCATAAAGCAACGGCTTTAGGCTATTAATAATACATTTGCTACAATCCTAATATGATTCTGTTGCAAGCCGGTCTTGTAGTTACCTTTTTGACGAAATTTATGGTATAAATAAATAATACTTTATTTACTTTTAGGGTGCCAAGACGATGACTGTGGAATTGGAACAGGTATTGTCTTTAATAAATCCTTGATCATTAATTATATTTTAAATTTTCTAGATGTTAGCGTCATGCTCATTAGTAGCACTGCTTGACTGTGTCTTCAACAATTTCTAAATAATTTTATTATTGTATCAAAAGTGTATCTAACAATTTCCATAGTGGCAACTCGTGCCAATAACTGTATATACCTTAATGATCGAAATTCATGGTATAAATAAATAAGACTTTATTTACTTTTAGGGTGCCAAGACGATGACTGTTGAATTGGAACAGGTATTGTCTTTAATAAATCCTTGATCATTAATTATATTTTAAATTTTCTATAATTATCTAATAATTCCTGAAATTCATCGTATTATAATTATTACAAACCAGCTGTCGTGCTTAAAAAATTAGAGAACCATTCGCTTCAACTGACAACCTCCACGAACCTTTCTGCCTAGAGAACATGTATAATTCCCGACGCTCTGTATAGTACTAGGGGTCAATTGAAAAGTACCCGGCCTGACACATAGATGGCGGCACCAGAACTAAATCCATATGATTTTCAGTTAGTCCTAACCTTCAAAAGACGCGTCTATAAATTTGACGGCTGTCGGAACATTAGTTTGTGAATTATAGCATTTTTAGTGAAGCAACTTTTGTTGTTGTGAAAAAAATGGATAAAAAGGAATTTCGCGTGTTGATAAAATATTGCTTTTTGAAGGGAAAAAATACAGTTGAAGCAAAAACTTGGCTTGATAACGAATTTCCGGACACTGCCCCAGGAAAATCAACCATCAAGGATTGGTATGCTAAGTTTAGACGTGGTGAAATGAGCACCGAAGACGGTGAACGCAGTGGACGCCCAAAAGAGGCTGTTACGGACGAAAACATTAAAAAAATCCACAAAATGATTTTGAATGACCGTAAATTGAAATTGAATGAAATAGCAGACACTCTACAGATATCAACGGAACGTATACATCACATCATTCACGAATATTTGGGTATGAGAAAGCTCTGTGCAAAGTGGGTGCCGCGCGAGCTCACTTTTGACCAAAAACAACGACGAGTTGATGATTCAGAGCAGTGTTTGAAGATGATCACGCGTAATAAACCCGAGTTTTTGCGTCGATATGTGACAATGGATGAAACATGGCTCCATCATTTCACTCCGAAGTCCAATCGACAGTCATCGGAGTGGACTGCACACGATGAACCCGCTCCAAAGCGTGCAAAAACGCAACAGTCGGCTGGCAAGGTTATGGCGTCTGTATTTTGGGATGCGCGTGGAATAATTTTCATTGACTACCTTGAAAAAGGAAGGACCATCAACAGCGACTATTACATAGCGTTATTGGACCGTTTGAAGGACGAAATCGCCGAGAAACGACCGCATTTGCAGAAAAAGAAAGTCCTGCTTCACCAAGACAATGCACCGTCTCACAAGTCAGTGAAAACGATGGCAAAAATTCATGAATTGGGCTTCGAATTGCTTCCGCATCCACCGTATTCTCCAGATCTGGCCCCCAGCGACTACTTCCTGTTCTCAGATCTCAAAAGAATGCTCGTTGGGAAAAAATTTTCGTCGAATGAAGAGGTGATCGCCGAAACTGAGGCCTATTTTGAAGCAAAGGACAAATCGTACTACAAAAATGGTATCGAAAAGTTGGAGGATCGCTATAATCAGTGTATCACCCTTGAAGGGAATTATGTTGAATAAAAAAAACGAATTTTGCAAAAAAAATGTGTTTTACTATTTTAGGCCGGGGACTTTTCAATTGACCTGTTACATTATTGCCTGATAAAAGTCGAAGCTGAAATAGTACCTTCATTAAAGTTTTTGTTTCAACAGTATATTTCAAATTTATTTTACGTTGTGATTAATTAATTAAATTTCATTAGTTACCACCGTAAGAATACTTTACTAATTCTGTTTAATTCTGTTTCAGTCCAATAAATGCCATTCAACATTATATGAATTATGTATTAGAAACTGCTTACTAGAGCTGTTAATAGTAGTATGCAATAATGTTTTTCTTTGCTATATGGGATTAAAAACTTGAAAAGATGTAGTTTGCAGTTTTATTTTTTGTAGTCAGGCAATAATCCAATTGTCATATTTCTATGAGAAGAAAAGGTATTCCAATATTCATTTGAAACACAACGCTTACTTAATTAAGATGTCTTTATGGCTCACAACACGATGACTTCAATTAAACTTTACAAAAGATGATATGTTTATTACTAGAAGAGCTGTGCATAACGAGTGTTTTAGTGTAATGAACCTCACGGGAAATAAAAGTCGTTGGTAGTTTTTTGAAGTGAAAACTTCTTTAGCGACGTTGGGCACTTTTTGACAGGGGAAAATGTTATGGGTTCGCGTCACCGACATGCTCACGACTGGCGCACGCGCAGCTGCCGTGTGCTGTAGGCGTTAGACGCTATTTGGATGGGTGAAATCTAGTGCGTTCGCGTAACCGACATGCTCACGACTGGCGCACGCGCAGCTGCCGTGTGCTGTAGGCGTTAGACGCTATTTGGATGGGTGAAATCTAGTGCGTTCGCGTCACCGACATGCCTGTAGCAGTATATTATCTGAGTATATCTGTAGCTATTGGGATCCGTCAAATGGGAGGAGCCTAAAAACAGGGCGCCGATTAGGGAAAATTTATCGTAGTTCCTAAAGTGTACCGTGCAATTTCCAAGTTTTTAAATTACGATAAAATGAAGTATTGACACAATATGTGATTGGGCTGACACAAAGCCTCGGAAAGGAAATTTCGTTGAAGGTGAGCGTGTTTTTAATGCCAATCACATTATAAAATTCGGAAATAACAAATCCGGAAGCTAGCCTTCAAATTCCGTCAAGTTTACTGCCTACTTTTTACAAACTTCGGATTTAAAAAGTGATTCACGTTATATAATTGGTGAGGTGATTCTGGGTGATTTAAGCAATATCATATCAATGACTTGCACGTGCAAAGCCGATTTAAGAGAACGTTGCAAACACATTATTGCAACTTTGTTGTATTGCAGCAGGTAGGTTCTTAACCTCAAAATACTTATATCGTATCATTAGAATTGTGTTAAATCAATTACACAGGAATAAATAATTTCTCACTTTATAATTTTAGTATGATTCTAGTTTTAAATATTAAGGTTATGGCTGATGGTAAATACTTGCTGAAATATAATCATGTGCATTAAAATGACGTGAACAAATTTTTATTCCGGAATTCACTTCTTTGATACCTACTGCTTTCATCCAAGCTTCTATTAGTTTACTTTTTTCTCTAATTTTCCGAATATATTTTTTACATATATAAAACGGTTAGTTTTTATTGGAAAGTAGTTAATGTAGGTGAAGAGTGAAGATCTATGTCTGAAGTGCTATTGCAGCTTTTCACTGAACATATTAACTTTTTATTTGATTTAACTTTAGAAGAAAACTTCGTCGACTCCATCATCAAAAAAGTTTTTACTTTTTTAACGTGTTTTATTATTTTAATAAACATTTTACAATTTGCGTGCACAGTTCCTATGCAAATTTTTCCCTCATTCGAGTTATAAATTTTGCCACCAGATGGTGTATGCCCATTTGACGGATCCCAATACAGTTACGACGATCGATGCGGTTTTACGCGATACTTAGATAAATTTCAATCAAACGTTCTCATTTTTTACTTTAGTTACAATAAGCCTATTGTATTTTTTTAAAACACAATGAAATAATTGAAAGTACAAAAAGTCTAAGAATTGTTGAAATTAATGATAACAATGATGCAAACAATGTTAAAAATCAAGTACATTGAAATTTATGTAAACATTTGAATAATAAAAAAACATATAAACATGCATATAATTGTTGTTCGTAGTGTCAATAGATGTGAAAACCAGATTGATGTTGATAAGTTTTATTCAAACATTATGAAATTTCAAATTTGAATACTAAAAGTTCTATGTTTTCACTTTTATCGGCAAATTTTTTTTTATTTATTAAACAACACTTATAACTTATAACTAACAAAAGACTAGCCTTTCCCCGCGGCTTCGCTCGCAGAAATTAGTATTGTTTCTCCACAAAACCTTTTAACTTCCAATTCACCCTTACAACGTTTTAATTTTATGTAATGTCGCCATCTTAGATTTCTGATACAAACGTAGCAACAACATTTTTCATCCTTAAGGGTTGATTTTTAAGAATTGCCAAAACACATAGGTATTTGCTTAATTTCAACAATGAGCAACTTCCGAGTAAATCCTAGTACAAATTAAATTTACCTCATGCAAACGTTGCAACCACTTTTCATTTGATTAATAATATCATACGGCATACGTATATATACAAAGTTTCAAGTAAATTCAACCACAAATAAAGTATGTTCCAAACAAAAATTGCAACACCTTTTTACCTCTACCCCCCTTTGGAGGTTGAATTTTTTAAAATGTCCAGATAAGTCTTTCAGAAATTAAATGAGATACCATTAAGACTATGTTTCAAGTAAATCTGACCACAAATAATATATGTTCCATTTAAGCATTGTAACTCCTCTCCACCACTTAACCCCCCCAACAGAGATTGAATTTCTTTTAATCTTTTAAGCAGTTTTAAGCAAATCGGACCAAAACCAAACATGCGATCTTGCAAACCCTTTTCAGCTTCCTAAAGAGGTAGAACTCTGTAAAATGTTGAAATAAGTATGTATGTCACTAATTTTATATGAAAAGGCATTAAAGCCAAGTTTCAGGTAAATCTGACTGTAAATAGAACACCATACTTAACCATAGACAACATTACGTTTAGCTGTCAGTTGCGTTTTGTTATACCATTTTTAACAAATGAACGCCTAGAATGATGATTCGATTTATAAATTTTTCGTTTTGCTGACATTTGCGTTTTATCATTCCATGTCAGTTGCACGTTTTTCTCGTGGAACGTAATAAAAAGTATCCTACGTCCTTCTCCCGGTTGTAAGCTACTTCCCCACCAATTTTCAGCCAAATCGGTTCAGCCGTTCTTGAGTTATAAATGGTGTAACTAAGATGACTTTCTTTTATATATATAGATTGACGAATACTGATCAAAAACAAGATTTAGAGATTTTCACTTTGAGACTGTTAAGACCGTATATGTCTTGGTTAAGGAAGAAGTTGATTTTATAAGCTGATTCATATACATATACAAAAGTAAAAGAATAAACTGATAATAATGTTCGCAATAGTATTCGATGGGTAAGTTACTATTTCCCAAAGTTTGAAATAGATTATTAATTAATGTAACTGCTGAGATAAACTGTAATTGTTTACAATTCCAGCAGAAGCTACTATTTGAACATTAAAATAATTCGAAGTGGTCTATATTCTGTCGAAACTGCCATCGATCTTTTTGAATCTCATCAGCGCGTCGTAGACAGCTCCGACAGCATCGTGCTACAGATGGCGTTTACTGCGCTATTTGTAGTATTTTCTAAAACGCACTGTTAAGACAGCAGGTAAAAGTTTGTCTGTGTTCTATCGGAGCTGCCTGCGACGCGCTGATGAGATCCGAAAAGATCGAAATCGCGATCCGCGTCTGGCAGTTTCGACAGAATACAGACCACTTTCGATTATTTCATTCGATTATGGTAACGTGCCTATCACGTTGAGGTTGGTTACGCCGGGATTCGTTTTCAGCAAGTAGATATCCACACAAGTGTACCTTGTTGGAGCATACGTAATTCTAAAATGTAGCATCGTGCTACAGATGTATATTATATTATAGAGTCTGTTATTGAATACTAAAATACATTATGATTATGTTCTATTATACCATATTATACAGATAGGTACATTACATTAGGACACAGGTCGGCAACCTGCGGCTCGCGAGTCTCATGCGTCCTTTGGATGTGATGCTGCGGCTCTTTAGTTCCACAGGCAAATATTATTTATTTTATTAAAAAAACATTTATTTGCCAAAAACACTCTACCATCATCAGTTTAAAGAATTCTTAAACGAAATGGAGACTCAGTATTCCGACCTCCTTCTTCACAATAAAGTGCGATGGCTTTTCAAAGGTAAGATGTTGAAACGTATTGCTTTGTATTTGAATGAAATAAATACATTTCTAAATGAAAACGGCATTGATCACCCTGAATTAGACAACGACAAATCGTTGCAAAAAATTTACTTTATGGTGGATATCACATCGAAATTAAATCAGCTGAATCTAAAACTGCAAGGAAATGGGAATCCAGCGACCTGTGTTTTGGTAGAAGAATTGGTTTATTTTGAAGAAAAATTAATTCTTTTTGCAAAAGATATTCAGAGCGGTAAATTACTTCATTTTCAATTTTTAAAGCAATATCGCGATAAAACCAGTGCAACTGTTGATACGAATTATTTCAGCACAGTTATAATAGAAATAAAAGATGAATTTGCTGATAGATTTAAGTAATTCAAAATGGACACAACCACTCTAGCATTCATAGTAAATCCTCTCAACACAAATACTAACGAAAACCACACTGAGCCATTTGGAATTGATACTGGATCTTTAGAAATGTAATTGATCGATTTAAAAAGTTAAGCTTTCATGACCATAAGGTCGTCAGTCCTAAGACTGGTTGGATACGCACCTCCACTCTTTCCTTTCAACAACCCACATTATTAACCATTTGTGAACAGTAACCCAATCCAGGTCTACCTATACTCCTCTTAACTTCCGCTTCTGCCTCTAATATGTCTCTGACTAGACCTTCATGCCTGAGAAGATGTCCTACTAACCTATCACGCCTATTTCTTATTGACTTCCACATAGTCCTCTGTTCTCTTACTCTTTTTAAGACCTGTTCATTTCTAACCTTCACTATTCACGTTATCCTCATCATTCGCTTGTAACACCACATTTCGAACGCTTCTAATCTTTTCTTTTCCGCCGTGCCGACTGTCCATGTTTCGCACCCATACAGCGCCGTGCTCCAAACACACAGCTTTAACAATCTTTTTCGAATTTCTAAATTCATCGTTCGCGAGCATAGAAGTGACTCCATTTTA